AACATAATAAAAGCCAGCTGGATCAGGCCAGTGGCCCATCTAGTGCAACATTGTTTTCAGAGTGACCAACCAGATACCTGTGAGAAGCAATACAAGCAGGACCTGCGCACACAGCACACTGCCCACCTGTGATTCCCAGCAATTGCTATTCAGAGGCGTATTGACTCAATTGGAGGAGGTCCTGCTGTGTGTCCCAGCAAATTTGTGTAGAGATCCTTTGTCTACAAACAGGGGTAGGAAAAAAAATTTTTTAGCTCAAGGGCCTTATTTCTTTATGGGCAACTTTCCAGAAGACACATCATGCCACTGGTTTACAGAGTCAGTGCCAATTATGAGTGGGGCAACAGACACAAATGGGTTGTCACATGGAAGATGCAGCAAGCTTGTTTTCTCTTGCTCTGGAAAGTAGGACCCGAACCAATGGTTTCAAGTGATAAGGAAGGAGATTCTGACTAAACAACAGGTAGAACTTTCTGACAGGAAGCTGTTAAGACAGTGGAACAGACTCCCTCAAAATTTGGTGGACTCTCCTTCATTGGAGGTTTTTAAGCAAAGCTTGGATGGCCACCTGTCTTGTATGATCTAGCTGAGATTCCTGCATTGCAGGCAGAGGCGTAGCGTGGGGGTGCTGTGGTGCCGCGATTTTGAGAGGGGGCGCAAACAGGCATGACCCAGGGTAGGAGAGCAGGAGAGTTGGTGGCAATGCTGCCGCCCACTCTCTCTGGCTGTGAGGCGCCTCACACCCGGCGGCGAACACCCCACCTCAGGTGCTGATCACAGAGGGTTATACTAGATGATCCTCCTTCCAACTCTTCAGTTCTATGATTCTATTAATTCTACATCAATAAAGTAGACAACATTTGAGTCATGACCTCCTCATCTCCCCCTCCTTTCCGTTCCATTCCATTTTAGTTTTTTGCTTGTTTGTCACAACCGCCTCCCCAAAACACAAATCTCTCCATTCGGACAAGCATGAGGCATTGTCACAGTTTAAGGTTGCATTCCAGTCAGGCAAAAGCACCTAGGAATATGGAGCAGGGTGGGTGAGTTATGTGACCTACAGGAAGCTTGGAGGGCTGCATTTGGACTCTGGGCCTGAGGTTCCCTACCCATGATCCATGTGGCTAAGGCTGGCTCATATATAAGGAAACCATAGAGTTGGAAGGGACCCCAAGGGTCATTTAGTGGGGTGTCCTGGTTGCATGATATATTTAACACTAGTACAAATGTGATACGCTAAGGTAATAGCCACAGCCCCTGAAAACCTGGTGCAGAGGACTACCTACATCAGCACAGAGTCTTTTGAGGAAGAGAGAATTCTGGAGAAAGGGGTTGGTGTCCTAACATCTTTGGCTGAGCTACCTGAAGTAATCCCGTTCCGCTCCAAAGTAGCAATGATCAATGTAGAAATTACAGTAGTTTCCCTCCCACTCTCCTCCTCCACCTCGCTTGATTTATACGTGCCTGTGTGCTGGATACGTGGGGAAACCCGCCTAAACTGAAAATTACCTTGGGGCACAGATCCATTAATCGTTTGACTGAGAAGTCAGGCTGTAAACCACAAAGACCTCGTGGAAGTGATGCAAGGTTTGATCATTTCTCTACGTTGCGGTGTTGACAGACACATAAACGTGCACGTGGTGATAGATTAGCAGGCTGGGCAGACAGACACACAAACCCCAACAATGGTGGCCCTGACAGCTGCATGGCATTGCTGCCTGCATCTTTTTCTTTCCTCTCTCTCCTTCCCCTCCCCGCCCCAGTGCAGCAGGGTAACTAATAGCTTGGCAGAGGAGGAAACAGAAAACACAAGGGAAAGACTAACCACCCCGTTGCACCGTTGCTCAGATCAAAACCAGATCCACTGCGCCCAGCTTTAAAGTTGTAAGCGGCCTCTCTACCAGGACCGGATTTAGGTTTGATAAGGCCCTAAACTACTGAAGGTAATGGGGCCCTTTATATGCCCAGCTGTCCTTTGTCAACAACAAACTGTCACTGTTGTTTGTGTTGAATATATGCTGTATGATAATTTATGGACCTAACAGGTATCTAAAGCCATTTGCACTTAACAAAATATGTATTTTATCAAAGTAATTGTTGAACTTATCTTATATTTTGGAAATGCACATCCAGGTTTTTTTCCTTTAATTTTTTTGGGGGCCCCCAAGAGAGTGGGGCCCTAAGCTATAGCTTGTTTAGCTTATAGATAAATCCAGCACTGCAGTCTCTACCCAATTCTCAACTCCAGTGTTTGGGCAGCAGAGAGCCTCTGCTCTCCATCCAGGCAACAAAGTCGGTAAGAGCCAACAAGTCTTGGCGCGGAAGCTGCAGCTCTGTCTGAAAAGGTATTATTCAGCCCGCCCGGCCCATATACGCAGTTTGCCAACCTCCTAAGTGGAATCGGATCTCCCTTGATGCACCCCACTCTGGTTCCACAGCTTGCAGTTAACTATTCTCTCCAAAGGAACTCCTCTCGATGGCCTCCCCCGGCTTTGCTCCCCAGCTGGAAGCCGAAGCCAAGTTTGGAGGAACATGCCAGGCATCCCTTGCTGGTGATCCTGAAAAGGCTCCCTAGAGGGCGTGTGCCCTGATCGGAGACTGCCCCCATTCCTAAGGCATATGGCATGAAGGGGCAACAGAAGGCGTGTCAATAGACCTGCAAAGGGGGGCAGGGAGAGGAAGGTTTGCAGAGGAAATGCACCCTTAAAGAAAAGCAGGGAAGATGTCCATCGTTAAGGCTGGGAGGGAGGAGGGATGACTTGTAGCTTTGCAGATGTTGGCCCCCAGCTGCCAGCAGTCCCAGTCAGCATGGCCAATAGTCAGAGGTGGTGAGGACTGCAGCCAAGTACCCAACAAGTCTAGGAGGATGAGTTCAACAATTTATCATCATATAGAAGAAAACTACAGCTGAGGTTTTCCCTCCCCTTTAATCACAGCTAAAAATAAAGGCAATCAATTTCAAGGAATGCTCCCTGGAAAGCTTATGTACTAGGTGTCAGCCCTCTGGTGGCACTGAAAACACTTGCACTTGCCTACGGGGAGAGTTCTATTAAGGTGCTGCCTCCGAAAAACCTGGCTTTCAAATAGGACCAGCATCACCAAGAGGATTTTGACTTTTTGAAAACCTCTCCCAGTTCACACATACACACTGTTTGTATGTCCCAAGTTTCACCTCCTTCTAACTTATGATGGAGAGAAGTAATTAATGGGAAAGAGACCTATCAATTATTATTAGCCAGGATGGCTAAAAATAAAACGGCTGTGGGTCCCATGCAGCCCAAGGCTAACTGGTGTATTAGCAGTATCATCTAACATGTTCCTATTCTGATATGCATTGGTATTTACCAGGCACTCCTATCTCCATTACTGAAAACCAATCATTGGAATGCTAATACTGAAGCCAATATATTCCTCAGGGCAGGCAGCATGATTTCAACAGTAATGCAGTGTGCTAGTCCTACACATGTAAATTATTTGTGTGTCTCAGGCAGGAACTACTGACAATGTGCAGTTGCTTCCCCTCATATTGTATTTGCCTTTATCCTTAACCTTTCTCTCGGACTCTTCTTTTGTTTGAGCTTGGAGACTGTTTTTTCAAGCACAGCACACAAGGTAATGAATTCAGCAAGAACTGCTTCATAAATTACGAAGTGCTACACACACTGCAATGTTGGAAGCAGCAGCAGCACACATCGATTTCATCATAAGCATGCATGTATACACACACCCCTGGGAGCCGGAGCCAAATATAACTCATGGCCATATGGACAGTGGAAAGGGTACATACAACTCCAAGCCAAGTCTTACAGCAAGTGCATGCACACACCACAAACTATGACCATTTACTTGGCAGTGTCCCAATGAATTCATGGGAGTTACTTCCATGAAGTGAAATGTCCTTAAGATAGCACAAAGCACTGTGAGTGATTGAGGTACAACCACAGAGAACTAAACCCAAAACTCTTGAGGTTTTATTGGTACAAATTCTAACTGTTGAAAGCACTAATGCAGAACGGTTTAAGACACCAAATGAGATAAGAGATGGGAAAACCTGGGGGAAACCTCTGTCCATGGCACACTTCCCACCAGCCCAGCTCCATGCCCTCCTCAAGTACTTTGCCTGGCTGGAATGTGTTTTTGAAATGTGACGTTTGCCCGCTTAGGTTTATGTGCGTGTGTGTGTCTGCATAGAAATCTGACATCCGTGCATTACTGCAATGTAGTTTATGGTACAAGATTAGAGTCCCATCCATTGCTCTGCCCACTTTTGACTCTGGTTTCACCCTCTACCTTGATTGGCATGGGACCACCAAAAGCCTCTCTGTGCAATCAGATGTATTGCAGTACCCAATTCTCATGACTTTTCTCAAGATGTTGTTTCTGTAAAGGGATTTTTCATTTCATTTCTCAATCGGCACACTACAATATTTTGTATTTGGATACATGCAGTTCTTCCCTGAGAAAGAGCACTGTTAGTCGTGGATACACAAGTGTTACAAGCACCTTCTGGGAATGACCTGTGATGGAACGAGTGAGATGTTTCCTCTTGCTGCACCATTTTGTGACCTTTTAAACATTTTACACTTGGAGCAATTCAGCACCAGTGCCAGTACCCTCATCTAACCATGTTGCTGTTGTCTTTAGTGTAGCAAAAGCATCAAGACAAATTTCCTTATCCCAGCAAAAAATGTTTTTTTGTAAATTTGGGGGGAAGCAGCTGTACAGTTCCCAGTCTATAGTACTTGTGTGAGTGTCATGCACAGGTTGAAATGTGGTTGGCATAAGCACTGACCAACTCTTAAAGAAAGGTCCTAAACGTGCTACGTGAAAGGCACAAACCTTCTTTTGCCACACTCTAACCACCAATTGTATACCGCATTTTTATTAAAAGCTATCATTCTTGAAACACCTTCGTTGAGAATCAACTTATTTCCCAAATTACAATTGACACTGAATACCCAAAAGAATTTACCTGTAATAAGAAAGAGCTGCAGAACAGAAAGGGATGGGGAAGATTTTATTAAATATTCCAGATGCCATTTCCCATTCTGTGCTGGGCACTTAAGAGAAGTGCATGGTCTTTTAGAGATTATGTGGTAAATAAAAACAAAACAGGTTACAGATCCTAGGCATTTAGGCAATGCTTATGACAGTAGGATTCATTATGCATTTTCATTAATATCTTCATTTTTAATTTTAAAATCTTAAAAATTCTCCATCTTTAAAGATTCCGAGTTAACTCTGATACTGTGTTTTTGTTGTGCACTGTTTGTGACATTAAATACACGACACTGTGTAATATACATTAGCATGTAATAGAGGAAATCCCTCTACAAAAGTTAACTACATACCAATTTCAGCCCACATTTTAGTATTTTTTTCACCACTGATAGTAGCAATGAAATCCATGGTCCCACAGTCTCCAGGCTAGGAACCTGAAATATTTTTTACAAACAATAATTGCATTGCTTGAAGCAGCAGCAGTCAGAGCCTTTATTCAACCTCAACGATGGTCATTAAAATGGGCCATGGTCTCAAGGGATCAATTAAGATTACCTTAGCACCCAGTAAATATTACACTAGTTGTTTTAATGAATTATTTGCTATAATTTCCAATAAATGCATTGTATACGCATTGCCCTTTACACTGAATTGGGGAAGGAGGTTAGAGAGGCTGAGCATATAAAAGGAATTGTAATTTAAGAGGAAACAAGTGCATTTGTGTGTTCACAAGTTATTACAAAAGATGGTATTAAGCCATATTCCTTCCAGTGTTAAACTAGAAAGTGCTCATGTTTTTGTAATATAATACTTGTACTTACAAACATATGTGCTAAAAAACCCCACTTAGCAACTTTTTATCAACTGAACAAACTTCATAGATAGCTAAGTATACATATGAAATTTTGAGTTAGAGCAAATACGAAGCTACATTATACAGAGTCAGACCATTGGTTCATCTAGCCCAGTATTTTCTATTCTGGCAACAGATCTCAGGTAGAGGTCTCACGGCTTGAGTTCCTTTAACTAGATGTCTCTATTATACCTGGGACTTTCTGCATACAATGCATATCCTTGATAATGTAACTATGGATCCTGCCCATAGTTGTGAACTACCCAGTATCACAACTGATGTAAATCTGGGACTAGGAGTAGAATCCTAGCCTCCTGAAATCTATGCTGAAAACAGAAGCTATTCCTATCTCAAACTTGAGCAGTTGGGCAGCCATGCACATTTGCAGGCACAAAAACAGAGCAGATAAGTTGTTTACTTTCCTCACCTCCAGCAAAGGAGTTATTCATTCCTTTCTTTTAATTTAATGATAGGAAAATTCCAATTATTAACAATGATTTTTAAAAACCTTCCGTTAAAGGTTCAATTTCATTTCTTTCTATCCACACATCACATGGTCCATAGAGCTCAATGGCCTCAGAGCCGATGTGCCTCGCTGAGGACAGTAACATTAAGGATGGGGCAAGAGTTCATCTTGGGGCCATTTGACATATATGTTATTGAACTTCATGTCCCAAAATAGCAGCACCCTGCTATACTCAAATTAGCTGCCCATTTTGACAGTTTCATTTCTCAGAGGGCACACTAAAATATAATATCCAAACATGAGACAAGTGCTTGGCAGAATTCAGCTGCAAGTTCAGCTGCAGTCTGTCACTATTCAAGAAGCCATTTCTCATACTATGCATTGAACAAAAATACAGGGGAACCAGCAAGTACAAATTAAAACATGAAAAACATTGTCAGACTGTACAAACCCTCTTTTTATACTGCTCAGTAAAGTTGACAGTTTTGTGGAGCACTGAGAATATTAAAAAGCTACCTCTTGCCATGTCAAAGGGGACACGGGTGACATTTGGCAGAATGGTCCTCAGGTATTTTATCACATCCTGCATCACAGACAGGAAGCAATTAAAGACAATAGATAAAACATGGGGGTATAAGGGTTCGGATATAACCTTTTCTTCAACAGATCCACAAACATTCAGAAATTTGAGACAATGGCCCAATTTGCCTATGGTTTAATGTGAATGAGCTCCTCCCCCACTTGATAAAACAAGCCAGTCTGGCTTGCCATTGTCATCCAAGCCTGTGCCTGCAGATTGATTCCCCCAAACACACAAGTGGAACCAAGGTTTGTTCCTGACTTACTGCTCATGGTATATTTGAGGAGAAACAAACTACAAGCCCAGGTTTTGACAACACAACAAGCCGGGCTCAGGCTTGTTTTTCAAAGCAGGGGAACTGGCATCACTGTAACTTTTGAACAACGTGCACCAGCATGCTGCTCTTCCTATTTAACGATAGCAAACAAGGCCAAAATAAATGATCCTACCCTCCCTCTTAAAGAGTGCCAAACAAAAGTAAGTATCCCCCACTGTTGATGGTCATGTGAGACATTAAGTTAACAAGCCTTAAGCAGCACTGGTATCCTCTAAACCAGGGTTTCTCATATTTAGGTCTCCAGCTGTTTTCAGACTACAATTCCCATCATTCCTGAGCACTGGTCCTGCTAGCTAAGGATGATGGGAGTTGTAGTTCAAAAACAGTAGAAGACCCAAGTTTGGGAGACCCTGCCTAAATTTACAAGTAGAGAACTATGCTTGAACTGTACGGAAATTTATCCACAATTCTACCATGGAGAAACTGTTTTGATGGTAGGAGGTGTGTCTGGGTTTTTTTTTGTTTTTTCAAGGTATACCCCTTCAAGGAGGTTATTTGCTTTTGCAAGTAGCTGTGATATTACACCAAGATTTGTTGAATGCTCACTTGCATTATTTACCAAACATACATGTGAAAGACTAAAATGCTGATCAAACTACATGGACAGTTCAACATTCATTCTTAGCAAACAATCATACTGAAAAAATGTATTAATGGTTCTAATAAAATCTGTTGTCATGAGAAGTGGCAAATAGTACTCAAAAGCAGCTTCTTTATTACAGAGATTAAAGCATACATACCTACATACCACTCCAGTGTAAAACAGGCCCACAACACTGCCATCTCTCTCTCTCACGCACACACGCTACCCCCACCCTACCACCAAAAGAGTACAACGCCCGGTGTCTGGATACAACCATATTGACAGATGAATAAAACCAGACAAAGCATTATGAAATATGCACAATATTGATTTAAATGGTTATTTTCCCGTTTCAGGCAAGTTGCACTTTTAATGTTAGAAAACAGGTGAATTCAGTCACCACCACACAAGATTCCTGGAATTTTTCACTAATACATACTCCAATTAGAATTCTTAAAGAGTAACTCATTTTAAGGAATCAGATTTCAGAATCAGCAGGAATTTGAATCAAATTTCATCAATTATCTTACTTTCATGAAAAACGGCACCCACGTTGGAAGAAGTTATGTTGCTGAGCTTGTACTTCTTGGCTCGGAAGAACAAGGTTTAGGAGGCTCATCCTCCAAATTGTGTGATGCTCATTTACAAAAAGAATTGCAACCCCCAACTTCTTCTCCGGATCAAATTTTAATTCAAATTTCTCTCAACTCCTGTCTTTTGAACCTGCCCACAGACATGCACACCCCAACATCCCTCTTCCCTTCAGCCCTTTTTATGGTGTTGATATAGGTGGCAGCAGCTAGCTACAGCTTTAAGGAAAGAAAGGGAGGTAAGCATTCCACCCTTCCAGCAGCCCTTGGGAAAACTCTGTACCCCAGAGCCATTTGTGGCTGTGCAGTGCACCATAGGCCAGAAAGGGGACATGACGAAATCTCTTCCCTGCCTAACTCCACAGCCCACTGCTGCTACCTGCCATACTTGCAAAGCAAGTCAGGCTGAGGGACTGATGGTTAAGGGAAGGGGCTGGGTAGGTGGTAGCTGAGAAGTAAGTCTGGGTATTCAGAGGGCTGGGTAAGCCAAATTTTAATTGCCTCGGAATTAACTAAGCTGTCCCCCCCCCCCCCAGAACACAAGCAGCTCAACAATCTATTATTTTGTAAGTTCTAGTATAACCACTAACTAGGATAGAATGGCACTCCATTTCTTTATTGGCAAAATTTTAAACTAGTTAACAAAATGAGGGCTTCTTAGAAAAAAGGAGAGTTGGCGACAGAGGGGTGTGATTACAAGAATATGGCTAACAACAAGTATAAAGTTTTTCGGGAAATAAGAGCTATGCTGCATCTAAAATAATGACGGTAATTTCAGGTCAAACTTTCATACAAATATTTTTTTCTTCCTATTTTCAAGAGGATCTAATGGGAGCTAATTCAAGGTTAAACCCAAAAATATTAATTAGATACATCAAAACACTCCAGCATATTCTATTTACTCTACATCACACACTTTCTAATCTATGACACTGAAACACAGAAGGGATGTCATTAGAAAATCACTATTGCGTTTTTCGCAACAGGATGACAGATAAAACTGCAGAGAGCCTGAAGCTGGTTTTGTCCTCCCAGCAAAGAAAATCCATCTCTCTCCATACTGGAAAAACAGCAGAGGTTGTACATTCACTCACAATGCTACCGTGCTTCAGCTTCATAAAGATTACCCAGCAGTTACTTGCAAACTTGCTGCCAAAACTACTTTTAAGCAGCAAGACAACCCTGATTTAAGTAGGACTGCTTCAATGCAAAAACCAACATAGACCTCACCTAAATGAGGAACAATACACCAAGCACTGGCATTAAATCTGGACTTAGAACAAATTATTTGTAAATATGTATCAACAGATCTATCACACTGCTCATGATGTACCAGCATTTGTCTGACTCAAGTGCACAAGTTCAGCAATTATTTTTGCAATCAAAGATTTAACCTCCTCTCTGCAACTGTTAAACACTAGAAATTTACATATAAAATAAAAGCTGGGGTTCCCAAGGTCTACGGGATGCACAGGTGGTTAGGTGGAGGGGCAGATGCAGTCTTCAGGATGTTGGATGCTCAGCCTCAATTTAAATCTAAAGCTTATTGGAAGGAAATAATTCTTAAGCATTTGCACCTCCCTTTTCAGCAGTACCTGAATACAGTATATAAATCTAAAAGCTTTTTGGATTTAGAGACCAAAGAAAGCTGCATTTTTATGGTAAAGCACAGCAGGAAGTCTAAATTAAGACTTCTTAACTCTTAACGGAGGATCAGTCTACCTTCTTAGTACTGTTGTGCTTGAATCTAAACACCCCATAACTTACCCTATGTTAGATGCATTGTTTGCCAATGCAGAATGTTCCAGTGTAATTAGAAATGCTCGGAAAAGGTGAGTTGATGTGGTGACATTTTCATTTATCTTGCTAAGGAAGTTTCATGAATTGTTAATTACAGAATACCCTGAGATACTGGGAAAGCTGTAGACTTATCTCTATAGTGCATTAATAGAAGGTGAAAAGGTGAGGCTTAATAAGCTGGAGCAAGGACTGGGTTAAAATACACAACTGGTGAAGAATTCCAGACTATTTGAACCTCAGGAGCTGCATCTTCCATTTCCAGTTAAGAAGGCAAACATCAGCCACTCACTGCAGTTGAATTAACAGCATAAATCCATCCCACATTAAACTACTTTCTTGGCACAATTTATTTTTCCTGGACACCCCCCCCCAAAAAAAAATGCTGTTAGCAAATCATTAACGATATTCTATTCTAAACTGTCAGTTTAACAGCCCTATAAAAACATTTTAGAGTGTTTTTTATTATTTTATAAAAGTGTGCATGCTGTAGATATTAAAACTGCAGTCACCCTTACAGGCATCTCAGTTCTCTTTCAATCTTTCATGCCTAATCTATTCAATGAGACACAAAATGCCTTAGCTGAAGGCAACAGTTTGCTATATTGGAAAGTGCCACATATAGCGTAGTACGAGAAATTATATTGTACACTTCAAGACACTAGTCAAGCCCTTTGAATTAAATTTTTATTGTTTTGTTTTTTAAGATGAAGGGCAGCGAAGTGGCGCAGCATAATTTCAGATTTTTTCTAGACATTCACGTTTAAGCCACTCATTGAATAATGCCTCTCAGCCTTCTCCTGTGTAAAAACTTTTGGCATTAGTGATCACTGGCTTCCCTTTTGCCATTGTGATCCCACACTATGGAATGCTATCCCATTCACTAAAAATAGGGAACTCAAGCAAATAAACAGAATTGTATCTCAAATTTGACAGCAACTTTCCAAAGTAGAAAGTATACTTTTACTTCATGCTGCATGACTATTTCATATATTTTTTATGTTGTTAAGTATATAATGGGAAGAGATAATGATAAATTAAATAAGAGTACTGCAGGTTTAATTTCACATCTTGGCTATAATCTGACAAAGAAGAAGTCACCAAATACAGCAACTAGGTCCTGTCCCAAGCCAGGGATTAACTAATGCCCCTCCCCAAACCTTCCCCAGGCCCACCCCCTCCCACAACCCTTTCCAAAATCTCCCAACTAGACAACACTGTTGGCAAATCAAGACAGCATGAAACATACAATAGAAACAAACATGTGACATGTGCCAATGCATCAGGCTAGGTATCCTATTAAATGACACAGTTCTCCACATCAGCATTTCTGCTTGGGAGCCAGTTGTACCTTTGCCACTGAGGGATAAAGTTTACATTTGAGCATGCTCCGTGGTGCATTTACAAGTGCTGCAATGCTGCAAAGGAGATTGAACACCTGAAGCTTTTCCCTGTGACTTCTTTTCAGGGACATAATGCAACTGTCCCACCATGCAGTGACACTCAAAAGTACAATCCAATGTTGTAGCACAAATTACAACATCCAGTTTAGTAGGGTGTAAGGCATGTGGACAAGAAGAGATATCAGCAGTATGCAGCAGGAAGAGAAAGAATTCCACACCAGCAGAAAGCATCGGTGGCTCGATGCTTCAGTTCACTAGTTTTTAAACTCGTTTTGAATCCCTGATTCCTATTTATTGAGGCTGGAATTCATTTAGTTTCTGAGGCCGTATGCTGTTGGGTGAGTGGTGACCAATTCCTTGCGTTTCTGTTCATTGTTAAGATGATCAACATATTGACTGAACCTGTAGAAAGAACGGAGCACCAAGAATGCCTCGCAGGGTATTGTAACTTGGCCGCCTCCTCTAAGTGTCACTGTTCTAAATTTGGGCAAGGGAGTGGGGTTCAGGGAGTCAAACCGGCCCAGCCACTAGCACTGTCACAAAATAAGTTTCTTTAAAAAAACAAAAGGCAAACAAGATTATGAAGCCCTCCTTTACAGAAGCAGCTCATTTAAAAAAATAATAAATCCCACAAAATCAAAGTGTTAGGCTTCTCCATCTAAAAAAAGGTTACACACATGCGCTGAGAAAGTGACCACCACACAGATCTCAACAGCACCTTACTGTACAAAATCTAAGACTTAAAAGAACTGAGCTCACATTTCAGCCTTCTTTAAAGAAAGGATAAAGAGGCCTAGCTATGGCTGGGACAACATACATAGGGGCATTTCAGAAGACAAGGCAGAGGTGAAGCTAGTAGCCTTGACTTTCAGGTTGTCAAAACTGTGTTAATAGGGAAGGGGCACTTCATGCACAATATGTGTTTTACAAAATACATATCCAAGAAAAAGCAAGAAAACCCCACTTTGCACTAGAATGCAACACTCAAATATTTGCTCTGCCAAAGGCTGCCGCTGATGTCGTGTCTGACAAGAGGAAGCATGTGAAAGAGGCAAGAAGAGGGGAGAAAAGGAAATCCAAGTTTCAGTCTACTTTTCAAAATCTGTTTCTCTCAAAAGGCCATCTTCAGTCATCTGATGTCGGACAGTTCACTCTCCTTTGAGAATGATGTGGTCACAACAGGAGTGCCATTGTTAGCCAAATAGCCTTGCCTCAAGGTTTCAAAATATGAAGCCTGCACAGGTTTGTGATACTGCAGAACTTTTATGGCGTCATCTATCTGAAACCATTTCCGTTTCCTTCCTGTAGAAATAGAGGGAGGGGGAAATTAGTAACACAGCAAAGCAATTGATGATTTTATAGTTCCTTCTATAGATAATTTCCAGACATATAGTATGCCTATTCCTACTGCAAATGCACTGCAATAGCACACAGTAATTCAATGGCACCTGTGATACGATGACTCACTGAATGTTCACTTCTTCAATATACAATTGTAATAATTAACTTCACACAATACAACACGGGGGGGGGGGGCATGGACCAACCTCTAGCCTGTGGGCTCAATTTTGCATGCTAGGCCTTCCCAACCATCCCACCAGCCTCTCCCTAGAACCTCATACCCTCTTCAGGTTCTCCTTTCCCCACCTTTGAGCGGTTTCCCTCCTACCAGCAGATCGGCACATGTATGGGAGGAACACGAGAAGAGTCTGCTAGTTCAGGCCAATGGCCCATCTACTCCAGCACTGTGTTTTCACAGTGGCAACCAGATGCTTATGGGAAGCCCAAAAGCAAGGTAAGAGAATGGGGTGTATATCCTTTGGTAGTGTACTTTGGGCTTTAGCCCCAGTCATGCCAATATGCTGTCCCCAATAACCAGCTCTCCAAAGGAATGTGGCGCTTGGAGGAGGAAGGTTCTTCAGCCCCACAGTACATTACAACAGCAAATCTTTAGTTTAACAAATATTTTCCAAAATTTTTAAAAAACCCAAGATCTCACTTGTTTCTTCTAAAGGAGAATGAGCTGGAAAATAGTGCATTTAGTAAGGAAGCTCCTGAGACTAACAGAATGCAGCTGCTCACTTTTCTTAGAGAAAATCAATGGGAGAAGGAAAGTTATAGGCAAAACTGTGTATCACTGTGTTGCCTGTGAAGTTCATTGAGAGATATATGCATCTCTTTCCATTCTGTAAATAATTTAGGCAGCAATCCTAATTCCACTTATCTGAGAATAAGCCCCACTGATTTCAATAGGATTTACATCTAAGTAAACAAGGTTAGGACTGTGGTTAGTTTGAAGCTGGGAAATAAATTTGGTAAGAAGCAATTTTCTAAGTAATATGCTATTCTACAGGATGTATAACATCATACAGAAAAGTGAATCAAAACATAGGCATGAAGAAGCACTGGATGAAAAGAATAATACATTAATATGAATTTTGCAACGATTTGAGACTGATATAGGAGGGGCAATTAGTAAATTTCCTTCCCCCCCTTTTTAAAAGTAAATTTCCTTTTCAAAACACATGCTAAACATGGAAAAACTAAAATTAAAAAATCAGTGATACTGCAATAATAATAATAATAATAATAATAATAATAATGGAAACAGATAGTTAAGACTCTTCCACTTCCAAAATCTGGTTTTTAGCCCTCTTTGTGACTGTTCAGTTCTTTAAATCAAATTCTCTTTGAAATCATCAGTACTAGAATTCTTTATCTGTCTTTTTTTACAGGAAGCTGGAATTTAAAGGAGTCTGACAAGAGCTGACAAGTAACGAGTATTTTGGCAGCTGTATGCTGATGGTTGTCCTTTTCTACTTTAAAAAAAACAGTACAATTCTAATTCTTACACTCCCCCGCCCCCCGGCCACAATCACCTACATATATATAAAACAGGAGTGAGAAAAATATTTTCAGCCTGAGAGCTGCATTCCTTCATGGGCAACCATCCAGGGGCCACATGCCAGCAGTGGGTGGAGCCAGAGACAAAGGTGGACAGAGAATCAAATGTGATTCTTTGGCTGCATTCCAGGCACACAAAAATCAGAGGTTGCTACACCCACCCACACCCCTACATTCATCCGGTTAAGCAACATCTACCAGAGTTCAAGAAGCCAGGCAAAAGCAGTAAAGGAGGGTGTGAAGCAAGGCTAGTGAAAAGTGTGGCCTGGGGGCAAATCCCAAGGGCCAAAAAGGGTGAGAGGATTGCAGTCTCCACTTCTGATATAAAGCTGAATCTAATACAGAGAAGAGGATTGTGCTATTACAATCCTACAGAGAATCAGAAATACAGATGAATGTAAGTGTCTCACCGATATTCACAGAGTCCTCCCAGTCTTCCAATACTTCTGTGACAATAAGTACGTAAACATATGTTCTGTGTTTTCTGTCCTGGTTCTAAACGGAGGAGCAACATTAAAGTTAGGTTCCAAGGTTCATAACACCTGCGAACGTTTATTCTTAAGGAAAGCGGGGATAGGTACATTGTTAAAACATTTCCACCAACAGCAAAGCCCTACCAAGATAAATGATGAAGATTCAAAAGTAGTTACAACACGAAACAATTCAAAACATTTCCAACATAATTTTTACTAGTTTTGCCCTGACATCTTGCCAAACATTACTCCTCAGTCTTGAGAAACCTACAAAACACAGGGAAATTGAACGATCTGTCTCAGTGGATGCTCTATGTTTTCAAAATTCAATCATGTAACATGCATGATACCACAATGGCTGCATCTGCAAGTGAAAGTAAGGCATAAGTGATGATGGAGGGGAACCTCCAGCCCACTAGGACTTCAAATCACACCCACCTGTCCCACACCTGACATCAAACATCATATAATGACACTGGGTTATGGGGCAGGTAAAGACATAGCCAGCTTCTGATTGTCCCTTGGTAAGTGGGACTCACTGACAGCAGTCATCAGCTGACTGGCATTGGTAGGAACCCTGTTATACTACTTCTGTAGTTTTGCATCCCTGGTCTAAAGAGTCAAAAACACAGATAAGAGAACAAACTTGAACTAGAGTTCCTTTGCAAAGCAACTTTTAATTCATGTTCACTTCACCTAGCAATTATAGGAACTACTTTCAGTGAACTTTGCCAAACCAAAGGAGTTCATTCCAAGCACTGTTTGTAGCTTACAGGGATGTGTGAACAGGGCCATTGAGAAAAGTGTTAATCAACTCTTCAAAATGCTTATACTTACCTCAAAAATTCCTACTAATCTTCCTAATGTCCCTTTCACTCCAGCCTGTGAGAAATTCAAAGACAAGAAAGAAAGATTTAATGTTCTAAGTTACAGCTCAATATTTCAGTCTGGGCCAAATTACACATGGTGTAGAAAGTCTATGACAGAAAAAGCTTATGGAAGATCCAAAGCTTAAAAACAGCTGGGAGGGTCGGGGGAGAGGATTGGCTTCTGATAGCAGCACTAGGGTAGAGGATGTTTAATCCTTTCCTCATGTAATTTTCATGATTACAATTGCCCCCAAAGCTGCTATCCGTCCCCCAGTGTTTGTGAGTTAAGCGGCTTTGAGAAGGGACATCATGAAGTGTTTAAAACCAGCAGGGGAGGGAAGGGGTGAGAGAAAATTTGGGCCAAGAAAACTAGGGGTTAAATGCACATATGTATGCATGTAATCTGGTGTTTCATACCACACCCTCTCAAAGCTACATTTGAGGGAAGCATATCACCAAGAGACAGTACGTATCTACATATATGAACTCTAGACCCCAGTGCCTGAAGTCAACTGGCAATACTATTAACAATCTGTTGAAAGAGGTACTCAGTGAAGTATTCGAAAATCCCTCTCTGCATCATAATAACTATCACAGTTATGAGTACTGGGGCAAATTCTACAGCAGTATCCATCTCAACTCACAGATGGAACTAACTATGAGTTTTGTTCATAAAGAGTTAACAAAACCACAACACTATTAATTAGTTAGAAATTTGTTTCAACAGAGGGACAGTTTTGAGAAGACCAAGGAAGAAATTGATAAGCAGCACGAACAGTTTAGGTCCGAAGCAAGTTTTGGAGATTTACCTCTTCACAAACTTCCCGCACTGCAGCCACACTAGGCTCCTCTTCAGGCTCCATACCACCACCTGGGACAATCCATCTATCTGGATGACGACTACTGCTCACTAACAGCACCTACCGGGGGGAAACAGAGTACTTGCATATATACATTATTTCACTATATGGTTGCCCAACTTCAGAATACAATCTTGCTACAAAAGAATGCTGTTGACGGGGGGTGGGGGTTAAGTTCCTATAAGAAATCTCTCACTTTCTTTTTTGCTAATCTTCTCTCTATACTTATGGAGTCATCATGTCCTCTTGAGCTTCATTATACACAGGCAAAGGAAAAAGCTTAAGGAACTACTGGGTGAAGTCCCATGGTCAGAAATACTCAAAGAAAAGCAAGTCCAAGAGGGATGGGAGTTTCTTAAAGGCGACATACAGAAGGCACAAAGGCAGACAATTCCAACAAGTAAGCATCCGAAGAAACTGTATGGCTGCTTATGAAGCTTACAGATGAGCTGGGATGTAAGAAGGGCATGTATAAGAAATTACTCTTGTGGTCCCTTCCAACTCTACAATTCTATGGTTCTGTGGTTCTATGGTAGAAAGGAGAAATCATGAAAGAAGAGTATACATGAGTAGTCAACAGTTGCAGGGACCGGTGGTCAGGCAGGCCAAAGCTCAGAATGAACTCAGGCTTGCAAGAAAGGTTAAAAATAATTTTTAAAGTTTCTTCAGCTATGTTTGAAGCAAGTGGAGAAATAAGCAAGTAGTAGATCCCTTGTGGGGAGAAGAAGGAAAAATGCTACTCAGTGACAGAGACATGGCGGAACTCGTCAACACCTACTTTGCCTCTTTCTTCACCCCAAAGAAAAGCAGTGTCCAACCTTGTGGTAAAAGAATAAACAATGCAAGAAGGGAGTTGAAGCCCAAGATTAAAAAAAAAAGAGGTGGTAAGGGAACACCTAGCTACTTTAAATGAATTCAAATCACCAGTGCCTGGTTAGCTGACCCAAGGGTACTAAAGGAGCTTGTAGATCAAACAGTGTGATACAGCAGCAAGGCAAAAAGCTGATACTATTCCAGGCTGCATCATAAAAAGTAACAGTGTCCTGATCAAGGGAAGTAACAGTATTGCTCTATTCTGCCTTGGTCAGGCCACATCTAGAGTACTATGTCCAGTTCTGGGCACCACAGTCTAAGAAGGATCTTGACAAGCTGGAATGTGTACAGAGGAGGGCAACCGCCTCCTCCACCACTATGTTGGAAGTACAGCCTGACTCACCACTCCAGAGGGACAGGCTTGTATCACACTTCCTCAAGTGGGAATGCACCTACTGATTACCAAGAGCAATGGGGGAGAGTTTCTCATCCACAGTGCCTGGGCAGGTTACCTGGTTTCAACATCCACCCTTCCACTGGTGGTAGCCCGAGAGTCCAACCATTTACATCATGGCCACTATGTGAGGACACCAGCTGGTTGAACATCTGGCTGAGCTGTCTTAACAAAAGGCAAGACATTCTTCAAGGGGTGCATCAGGCTCTTCGTAAGAACTAATCTGAACAGGAAAAGCAAGTCTGTTTTGTTTGCACCTCCTGCATTCCATGTTATTAACAGACATACTATACCAAGGAACTTGAAGATACCTCCTTTTTCAAGAGGTGTTCTATGACAGTATTCTTTAAACATTAATACTCTGTCACTTTTACCTCCACATTCTCCCAGTAAAATATGGTGGTAAACCTAACCCTGACTAGAAACTCTAAAAGCATTGTTTGAGTATCCTGCCATTCCCTGCAACTAGAAACTCCTGCTGGCACTTGGTACTCTGAACTCCTGCCACGACTCTTATAATATGTTGAACTGCATCAGAACAATTATCAAAGGGATTGAAGATAGCTGCTCTGGGGATTTCAACATAAATTATTAAATTGACAATATGATTACAATAAATTCAGACAACCGCTTCAGAACAACCACTTCAGAAAAAGTAAATCCACGTGCCAGTTCCATAGCATTTATCCTGCACACAGACATATATCTTTATCCATACTGAAGATCTGGAACGAACTCACAAGAAGCCACATAATGTTGGAGGTTTCGTCCCCTTTCACATTTAGTCAAAAGCAGAAGTGAAACCTTCCAAACTCATTCTTGCAGCCGTTGAAGAAGGGAGGGTGAGAATCTGATGGTTGCACAAGCACATTCTCATAACGCTAAACTATGCTTTAGCATTTTTTATGAATGAGGCTTTTATGTCACCTGAGCAAAAGACATGGTTGTATTTGGTTGTACAGTATTATCACTTTGACTCAAAATTCTTCAGTGGAAGAATGCACATTAATTTAGCAATTTATGCTGCAGAACAAGGGCTTGTTGCATTTTTGTTTTGCTACATAAAAGTTTGGTCTTACTGACAAGTTGTGATTTGCCCTTTCTGTAGACTAATTGTCCTGCAGTAGATCTTTACCTCTCTCTGACTGCAGGCACACTTTTTATGGTCAACAGTTTTGTATCCCACACTCTCCAGGAGAGCTTCTAAAGGAAATAAGTATATGAAACTCTTTCAAGTTAAAACAGAAAACTTGAAGAGAAAAGAGGCCTCATATAATTCAGAAATTCATCCGCAAATCAGAACTGCTGTTTGGAATCTGAAAAGTTCAAATTGAGCTGTGGGTGCAAGGCATATGAGATAAATAGTGTGGTATTAAGTAACTGCTACTGCACCAGCCCCAGGAAAGGGTCCCAGCACTAGCTCTTGATCCAAGTGCCCTTGCACAGGTGTGTTTGAATCCTACCATTCACTTCCATAGGATGCTTTACTTGGCTAGTAACTCTTCTATAAGACAATTTTACCTATGAGATTTGGAACTATTTGATCACTGAATGTCCATTCCAAGTTGAATATTGCATTTATATGAGTGGGAATCTTTGCCAGATGCAAGCATGGAAGACTAAGACAACTCCATCTGTCCCCCTGACCAACCTTAAATGCCCCCCCACCCTAGACCTCTGGTAGGGGCTGATGGGAGTTTAGTCCAACAATATCTGGAGGCTACCAAGTTGGTTATTCCTCTTCTAGGGTCTTGTAAATAGTTTTGTTTTCCTCTGGTATGGTAGAAGAGTTCCACTTTTGTAGTCCAGGAAAAAAAGCAACCCCAGGAAGGTAGCAAGTTATAATGAAAATCTCTTTGCAACCCTCTAGCCTATTCATAAGAGGTACTATTTCTTAAAGAGGAAACATGTTTTGAACAGAATGCTGTAAAAACAAGCTGTCACAACACAGACTACTACAAAAGTGAAAATGCAAAATGTATGACTTATAATGAGTTCAAACAGGGCTGGAAAGTTCTTAGAGTGAAGAAAATTCTCAAAAAGGGCAGGAAAGCCCTAACAACTTTATGCTGGCGCCAATGAATTTGCATTATTTTTAAGTCCTGAATTCAAGAACAAAAAGGGATAACATTTAAATTTTGTTATTTTTCCACATTATAGACCATAAATCAGGATCTGTAACAAAACCATCTCTATGCCAAACAGCCTGGCTTAGGGTTATTCTACTTTACCTAAGGCAGTATCTCAAACTAAGCACAGTGATGTAGCACTGCCCCACTTAGTGGAACGCTCTGTCACAAGAGACTAGGGCCCTGCAGGACTTGACATCTTTCCGCAGGGCCTGCAAGACAGAGCTGTTCCACCAGGCCTTTGGCCAGGGCACAGCCTGACTCCCTCCTTTGGCAATCTTCGCGGAGCTCTGGCCCAATGGTTGCCATCGGTTTGATTTGACTTAATTTTATAATGAATGATTTTAGAGTGTTGTACTGTTTTATTGTTGTTGGCCGTCCTGAGCCCGGCTTCGGCTGGGGATATAAATAAAAATTTATTAATTATTATTATTATTATTATTATTATTATTATTATTATACTACTACTACTACTACTATCTAAACTGTTTACAAACCAACATCATACTTCAGGATGAAGGGTTATGCCAGTAGAGCACATACTTGAACTACCCCCTTGTAGCACCATTTCCCAGTTTCAGAAAGAGCTGCACAAGTCCCAAATGTAGCACAACAGGGTTCAGTTCCTACTACTGGAGCACTGTATTTCTACATATTGGCTCCCCCAAGCAGTAGATAAGAATGCCTTATGAATTCTTCAGGTACTCAAGTCTGATATGCTTACATCAGACTTACATCATATATACTGACCATCTCATTTTTTATCTGTCACATATTTCATTCTGCTCCCATCCAGGACTGGAAATTAGCTAGGTGCCAGGCGCATTTTGCACCTGGCTATCAACCACTTGCGACCAAGTGAAGATGCCTGGGCCTGACTTCTCCACCATCTTGGAGGTGCATACCTGGGATCAGCGGATCTGGGCTGTTTTCACACACTAATACCACATCCTGTAGAATTTTATCCGTGCCCTACCCTCTTGGCAACACTGATTTGAACCCTCATAACAACAGAACTCCCAAACTATTTCAAATTCCAATTGATATAATTCAGTAGCAACCCTACGAAAGAACAGATAAATAGTCTCTACAACAATTTGATAGCCATGCCCATAATCCACAATATAGACACCTGCATTTGTCCCCGCGACGGGGTGAGCTCCTGTTGCTCAGTCCCAGCTCCTGCCAATCTAGCAGTTCGAAAGCACGTCAAAGTGCAAGTAGATAAATAGGTACTGCTCCAGCGGGAAGGTAAACGGTGTTTCCATGCGCTGCTCTGGTTCGCCAGAAGCGGCCACATGACCCAGAAGCTGTCTGTGGACAAACACCGGCTCCCTCGGCCAGTAAAGCGAGATGAGCGCTGCAACCCCAGAGTAGTCTGCGACTGGACCTAACGGTCAGGGGTCCCTTTACCTTTCTTTCTTGAGTTATTTATCTTGCCCAGTTGTCAGCTCTTGCTTCATGATTTATGTTTTGGTTTTAGATAAACTTGATAACCATTTTCAGACTTATCATTCAGCTAGAGTGCCTGTCACCACCTCTTCAGAATGCGCACTAGCACAAAGTCAATAAATAATTGGATGATCACGGATAACTTTATGAAATGAGTATAAGCCTTACTAAGTCAAAGTGTCTCCAAGATTCCCAACACTTAAAAAAATCAC